GCCCGGCAGCAAGCCACTCCATTTTGGGTTACGGCCGGCTTTACCGACCCGCTGTGCAAGGACAAGGCAGGCTCAGCGCTCAGAAGCAAAGTGTGTTTATTATTTTGTAAATCTGCTGATCGGTCTTGCCCGGGGAGCCTAGCTCGCTGCCTGCACGCTGGCGGCTGGCAGAGGTGCTCTTGCAAGCCGTACCTGCCGTGCCACCCCCGTGCCACCCTCATGACCACCCTGGTCACTCGTTATGTCCCAAGTGAGCGGAGACTACGGCCGCGGGCTCCGCAGCCTCTAAAGTGCCTAAACGTGGCTTGCTAGCGAGAGGGCTTGTGCGTACGCCGTAATTGGCAAGTGTGATGTTAATGAGCTGGCAGCGCGGTTAATTATCCACCCGCTAGTGGGAAGTGACAAGCCTCTGAAGTATAATTAATCGCCGTTCCCGAAAAAAACCCCAACCAATCAGCGTGGAAGTGGGTGCCAGCCCATCCACCTGTTGGTCTTGCTCCTTTTCCTTCCAAACTCAGCTCCGAGTCCTTTGCTCCCCTGCACGGCAGCTCGTGGTGGCTACCAGCACGGAGGGAAGCTGGCCCTCATTCCTTTCAGTTCTTCTTGGGCTCCTTAAGGACCTTCCGTCCACGTAGGATCTTCCCCTCCTTCCCTGCCTCTGGGCTGGAGCTCACCCGCCCCGGATCCTCCTCTGCGCTTCCCAGCAGGATTTCGTTGATGGAACTGAGCGTCAGGTTGCTGAAGACCATGTTGAGGTGGTCGACGCCTCGCAGCTCCTGGACGTGCACCTTCTGCTTTTGCTGGTCGCGCCATCGCTTGCACAACTCCAAACTGCGTGTGTTGACGGTGTCGTCCCCGTCACCATAAATCATGTCCACGGGGTCCTCGTAAGGGAAACGCTCGTCATATATGTAAGTCTCCACGGTGGGGTAGCCCGTGCCGTAGAGGCAATACGTGTCCACTCCGGGAGGAGGTAAGCCTTTCAGCAAGTCCTTCATGTCCTCCCACATGTACCAGCCATCCTCCAAGTTGACGTCGGTGAAGAAGCGTTGGTAGTCTCGGTAGGTGTAATTGTACGAGGGCGTGGAGATGAAAACGTGGGTCTCGGGCCAGGCCAGGCTCGTCGGGAACATCCAGGGGCTGGTGGTGGTCATGCGCTGCTCTTCACGCAGCTTGATGTTGGACATGAGCGGGATGCCCTGATTGTCACCTGCAGGACACACAGGGACTCATCAGAAACAGCACCAAAACAAACGTACCCTCGTAGACGGTGCCCCTTGGGCGGCTGTGCCGGGATCAGCCCATCCCTCGGTGACTCACAGCTGTCTCCGGGGCACGGTTCCACCTCAGATCTTCCCCCTGCTCACCCCTGTCCTGCCCACGACCGTACGTCCTCTCCTCACCCCTCTGGCTGCAGATATCCAGAACAACCTTCCAAACTCTTCTCGCCGGCATAACATCTCCAGCTGCTAGGAGGGGCTGAGGGTAGACAAACCTGGATGTGTGATGGCCCTGACCAACCCAGCCCTGGACCTTCCCTGCAACCCCAGCACCTCCACACGCTCCTGCAGGGACAGGAGTGAGCTGAGCCCGATGAGGGTGCTGATGACGGGCGGCCAACCCACGTGCATCCCTCAAGCCTCGGCATTTTTGGTGTGTCTGGAGCCCTAAGACCATGCAACGATCTCAGATTACCTTAAAAATGTCTCTGGCCCTCGTGGCAGCAGAGAAAACTATGAGGAGATGACTTAGGGGTGATGCAAGGGGCCAGATGTTAAAATCTTCAAGCACATGATTTTAATTCCATGCGCTTCTGGAGGCTCAGCTTGTGACTTGTAGATATTCTGGGCTGTCAGCATTAGGCAAGTGGCTGTGGCTTTCTGGGCTGAAAAGAGCCTAAAGAGGAACTGGGCGAAGGGAGGGCAGAGCCTGCAGACAGCGAGGCTCGGGGGGATGGGCGGTGAGATGTGCGGAGATCCAAGCAAGCGGTGCAGGAGAGCGTGAGTGTCCCTTGGGTGCCCTCCGTGTCCTCGGCTGCAGAAGGGCTGTCTGGTTTGGAGGGAAGGTCCACCAACCCGCGTGCACGGAGGTGGCGCAGATGTCTGGGGCGGCAGTGAGAAGGGGGTGAGCATGCCCCAAACTCCTTCCCTGGCCCCAAGAGTTTTGGCTGAGCCCTGTTCTTGCCCAGGATGGGTGTTTCGGCTTTCAAGGAGCCACCCGTAGCCCTGGAGCTGACCGGGAGCATGGTGCAGGGTGTGCTGCAGGCTGTCTGGTGAGAGCTGGTGTAGGGGAAGGGGGATGGCCAGGCTGCAGGTGGACCCTTCAGACAGCAGTTTTCCATACACACAAACCCACCAGCCCCACTCGTGGAAACCAGGGGAAGCTCCAGGGCATGCCCTGGGCCACTGTCCTGCTGTCGGGGCTGCGGCAGGGACCTCCGTGGAGCTTTCTGCGCCGTGGGATGCAGCGGGATGCAGCGGCGTCAGCACCAGAGCGTGAGTGCTGCCTCCACAGACCCCTCGGTCCTCTGTCCCCCACCTCTTCCACCACCATGTCCTTTCCCTGCCCACCACCGCCCTTCTATTTCTGCAGGAGGGAAAGAAAGCAAAGAGGTGGCTGCGCACAAGGAGTCACCCACCGGATGCCAGGACACGCAGGGGCTTGACGGACCCTCCCCAGGGGGCACCCAGGGAGATGAACCCCCCAATGTACTGGTCTTTCCAGGCTTGCGTCTGCTGTAGCAAGAAGTAGAGGATGTTCAGGTTGCCCAAGCTGTGCGCGATGAGGAAGACACGTCGCTGGTACTCATCGTGCATCTCCTCGATCAGTGCCTTCAGGTTCTGGAAATACTCGGGCTGCTCCTCTGTGGACGAGAGGGGCATCAGCCCTTGGCCACCTCACTCATGGCCACAGGGCTCCAGGGTGAATCCTAAGAGCCCCGACCTGAGAGCAGTGTGGGCGCAGAGGCCGCAAGTGCCACCGCGCATTCACGTGAGAGCACCACGAACGGCTGAGCAACCACCACCATGGGCAGCCGTCCCTGTCCGGGGGTTCCTCAGCCCCAACCGGCTCACCCAGTCCCTGAGACCCATCCTGCTTCCCTCCCTGCATGGGTGGCCTGGCCACAAACCCCAAACTTACGGGGCCCGACCCTCCAGTCGTAGGGGGCTGCCCGAACCGTCTGGTCCCTCACGTAGCCGTTGTTCACCAGGTTCTGCACCAGGGTGTGCAGGTAACCTACGGGTAGAGACAACAGGTGGGAATTAGGTCTGTGGTCTTCTCCTGTTGACCTTTTTCTACCCTGGTCCTGGTGATGGCCACAACGTCCTCTGGTAAGCCCTGGAGCTTGGTGGCTCCAGCCAGAGGTAACGGTTCCACACGTCCCGTGTGCGCTGGGTGCAAGGTGGTCCCTGCCAGCACTCGAAGGTCCCACATCCCTCACTCCCAGGTGGCCTGGGCTCTCCGCAGAACCAGTCTCCCCTGGAGACACGGAGACCCCTCTCCACTTGCAGGGAGCACGTGGGAGCCCCGGACGCCCCACGCCTCTCCTCGCACCTGCCAGCTTGCTCTGATCCAGGTATTCCACGGAATAGGTCTTGCCGAATCCAGGCACACGGATGTGCACCCCTGGGGCATTGGACATTTTCCGAGAGGTTCGGTTGTACACCACCCTGCGGGGACAGGACAGAAAGTAGCAGAAGAACCCGGATCCCCAAGGGCTGGGGTAGAGCTCACCGGGTGGCAGCCGGGACCCGGGTGGCTGTTTCTGAGTCTCGTGTGGGTGGGGAGGTGGGCTGGTGCCAACGGCCTGGCATCTCGGGGCAGGAGGCTCCGATGGAGCGGGCTGCGGTGGTCCCCTCACCCTGCGGCCCGGGGCAGGGTGGCAGCATCTCCAGTGGGTGCCGAGGAGGGTCTGGCTGGCATATG